GGCTAAAGGTGTTGGGAAAGTGAGAAGGGTAGGGGAATGGTAATAAGGGAAAAAAAAAGGAGAAAATGGAAATAAAGTGTTTGTAAATGGGAGGGGAGGAGGGGGTGAAGGGAGGGCAGGGACAAGGGGAAAAAATGAGAACCAAGACCTGTCACATAAAGGTACAAGATCCCAATAATGAATGTAACTGTACTATATATATTAAAATGTACCAATAAACTCAATTTAAAATATAGAATTTACAAAATACTAAAAGAGAAATCCTGCTCCCCCAAAATAAGTGATCTAATCTAAAAATAGGCATCTGAAATGAATAGATACTTCTCAGATGTACCAATTGCCAATTAATACATGAAAAAATTCTCAACATCTTTGGCCATCTGATAAATGCACGAACATTGAAATTCCATATCAGTCCAGAAAGAACAGCTATCAATACAAAATAAAACAATAGAAAAGAAAAAAAAAGAGAACAGAAGGAAAAAAATGGAAACAATACTTTTGTAAATAAGTAGGGAAGAAGAAGAGTTGAAGGGAGGGGAAGGGAATGGGAAAGAAAAGAAAAATCACGATATGTACAGGCAAAAATTCCCTATGATGAATGTGATCATTATGTATATCAAAAATGTACCAATAAAATTACCTTTTAAAAAATCAAACAATAACAAATGCTGGCAAGGCTTTGGCAGAAAAAAGAACCCTTGTACATATTTACTTCTTTGTAAATTCTAAGTAGAATGTAAACTAGTATAACCACTAAGAAAATCAGAATAGAGATTCTATTTGACCCAGGTAATCACCTTCTAGGTGTCTTTGCCCAAAGATTCAAAGATATTCTATAACTGTGATATACCTATAACACATAATAGCTAAATCTTAGAGGTGGCCTATATATCCATGAAGAGATGAATGAATAAAGAAAAGGTGGTATGTAATACATAGTGGAGTACTACTTTGTGAAAGTTGATTAAGTTTGACTCATTTGTAGGAAAATGGATGCAACTTGAGACCATAATATGAAGTGAAATAAATTAGACAAGTGAGCTTAAATATCGCATAACTCTCTTAATAGGAAACCCAAAGTATAAACAATTTAAAAAACAAAAGATAGGCAACAGGAAATGAGGAGATAGATCCTTTGCAAATGGCAAGGGAATCTGGAGATAGATGGAAGAGGAAGGGTAACAAAAATAATTATGGTTAAGTACCCATACCGACTCCCTAGGATGAATGTGAACATTATGCACTGCAAACATGTACAAATAAAAAATAAAAAAACTCAAACAAATGAATAAACAAATAAAAACTCCCAAAATTGGAAAAAAAGAAAGAGAAAATAGCTGGGCAGAAGAAATAAACTCTAGTGTTTCTGCACCTGAAAAGGCTGACTACAGATCACAATAACTTTTTATATATTTTATGAAGAACTATGCATTTGTCAGTTTTCACTAGTATAACAAAGTATCTGATATAGTCAACTTTAAAAGAGGAAAAGTTTATTTTATCTTACAGTTTCTGAAGTTTCAGTCCGTGATAAGTTGGCCCATTGTTTTTGGGCATGTGGCAAAGCAGTAGTTCATCATAGCAGGAGTACATAGCAAAGCAGGACACTTACTTCAAGGCAGCCAGAAAGCAAGAGGGGAAGTGGAGGGACCAGAGTCCTAGCATGCCCTTCAAGACCATGCTTCCAATGGCCTTCCTTTAACTAGCTCCCAGCTCCTAAAGATCCCACCACCTCCCACTAATGACACAGGTTGGGGACCAAACCTTAAAACACATGGGCCTTCCAGGGATTTTCAAGATACAAAGTATCACAAACTAGAAGATAGGCACTCAGAGGCTCCAAACATAAAGAAATGATGAGAGGCAGGGACAAAGGGAAAAAATGAGAACCAAGACCTGTCATGTAAAGGTACAAGATCCCAATAATGAATGTAACTGTACTGTATACCTAAATGTACCAATAAACTCAATGAGAAAAAAAAAGAAATGATGAGATGGTATATGTGCTGCCAAAATGAGCACAAGAAATGATGAGATGGAAATGCTAATTATCCTGATTGGATCAGAACACACTGTATGGATCTGTTGAAGCATCATACTGCATCACTTTAATACAGTGGTGCCTCAGTTCATAATGTAATTCTTTCCACAATTCTGGTCCATATTCTTTCTCTGCCCTCTAGTCTCAGAGAATTAGTTATAAACCCCTCCCTAACTTCTCTGTGTACTTCTACCTACCTCTTTCCTTTCCCCATTCCTGCCCTAGCCCAGGTGGCACCTTACACTGTTCACTAGTCCTTTTACAATTTCCTGAGGTTTTATAATTATTCCCACAACAATCTCCAAGCTAATTTATCTCCCTCACCTCTCCACAATGTACCTCATCCTTGGGCTTCCTAAGTGCTTCTGGCTCAAGATTGCCTCATCGCTGGGCCAAGAGGTCAAGTTATAAAGAACTGTGGGTGCAATCAGTACTTAGGGTACCTGTGTATCCTTTCAGGTTAACATACCTGTTTCCTGTTTCACCAACAGGGTAGGAGTTAAGTAAGAGGTGAAGTTTTAAGTGCTCTGTATTTTTGCACAGGTAATCCATCAAAAGTCCCAAGTACCTCTAGAGGTAAAATGACACAAGCACACTAGCGCTTCCACAAAAGTGTTGAATAATAGCTTCAATCCCTGATGGTGGTACATTCCTGAAGTGAGGCGGGAAGATCTCAGGTTTGAGCCCACCCTGGGCAGTTTAGCAATTTAGGGAGAGGTAGGGTATATAGCTCAGGGCAAAGGCCCTGGCTTCAATCCTCAGTAATACACAGGCATTCTTGTCTTGTTCTTGGCATTAATAGGCCAGCTATATCACGTTAGTTTTGGTTTGGAGACAGACATTCTTTATCATGTTAAGTACGCTTCCAGGCCTACTTCAGTTATATATTAATTTTCAGAAAAGAAAGTGGAATTTTTCAGCATCAAGATGATGGATGCTTTTCTTTGACCCATTAAAATGATCAATTATCATCAATGCATTACCTGCTTTTGAATTAACTTTACTTTTCTGAGAAAAACTATTTGATCCAGGGTATTACTGTTTTCTTATTTTGTAGACTTTACAGTATTTGCTAACAGTTTAAGATGTTTCACCTATGTTAATAAGTGACTCATATAGTTTTCTTTTTAGTATTTTGTCAAGTTTAATATAATGCTTGCACTAGGTCCCTAGGTTTTTAAATGTCACTCTTTCTTTGGAAACATTTATATAGTGTAGGAATTATCTGTTCCTTGAAGCCATGAATAAATGGTCTTTGAAACCATCTTCATGCAGCTTAGAGTAAAAATTTCAAACTGCATGAACGATCCACTATGAATAGTTCTCCTGATCATGCAATGGGCCGTTCTTCCTTCAAAAAGGTCAGTTCATCCCATATTGTCAGACCTCCAGTTTCTTCAGAGGCAACCACTTTCACGTGAAGCCTTCCTTTTGAAGCAATTCATATATTTCTAGTTCCTTTACTTTTTCACACAAACTAAGTAAAAATTTCAAACTGCATGAACGATCCACTATGAATAGTTCTCCTGATCATGCAATGGGCCGTTCTTCCTTCAAAAAGGTCAGTTCATCCCATATTGTCAGACCTCCAGTTTCTTCAGAGGCAACCACTTTCACGTGAAGCCTTCCTTTTGAAGCAATTCATATATTTCTAGTTCCTTTACTTTTTCACACAAACTATAAAACCTGTTCAGCACCTTGCTTTTTATATATATATTTTAAATTTTTCTTTCAAAAATTCTGTTTTATAAAAATTCCCCACTTTCCAAGTCAATTTTGACTATTTTTCTAAAAAAAGGACACTATTTCCTCAGAATTTTCATTATTTTCAGTTTTACATTACAATGACTTGAAATTTATAACAAACAATAAAATTCACCATGCTTATTGATTTAAATATTTATCCCAGTTCTACTACAGATTGTTTTTGTTTTATTTTGTTTTGGTACCAAGGATGGAACTCAGGACCTTGCTTATGAGGCAGGTGCGTGCCACTGAGCTAAATCCGCCCCTCCTTCAACTACAAAGTTTCTGAGCAACTTTGGGTAAGTCCTGCTGTACTGGAGATGTCCGTGTTCTGATAGAAGGTAATGAGTAATGGTATTAAAGAATACTCAGTTAATGTGGTAATTTTGTGAGATATATTTACAATTAAAAGCAGAATAATTTCTATTTTATGAGTTTGTTCCTATGTAGCCCCCTTTCAACCGTCCTTCCTGGGTTTCTTTGGTACATATACCCTTTTAGTTACATAAAAGGAATGAGCATTGATAGCCTGTAACCTGAACATTGACTCGCTTGATGATAATTTTATGGCCTGTCCTCCTAAGGCCATTTTGAAACAAGTGGTTAAGAGGCCAAGAGATGAGGTTAGGGGTAGAGAGGTTGGGATTTTGTGATGAGAGAACTAATTTTAGAGGTTGGCAAGGAAATAGAGGAGGTTATTATCAAGGGCTTCAGGAAATACGAAGGGAGTTGGTGATGGATAATAAATGAGAAAGTAAAGGGAGGAAGAATGGGGAGGAAGGCCTAGGCTGGGTTTGAACCAGTTGAACACAATATTTTCTTGTCCTTTTTTTGTTGTTATTAAGGTTTCATACTTACTGGCCTAAATTTTAATATCATGTCCACCAGTAGTTGTTCAAGTACTGGAAATGATTTTGGTTTGAAATACTGCACTTACACAAAACAAAATGACAACACCCCGAAAAAATTCCATTTAAGTTTCGCAATTGTGTTCCTCCACGTTTTTCAAGTTTACCGCAGTACTTCGGTGCTTTCCTTTGATTGCTTATATAAAAACATAAAGGACTTTATGTCATACCCATTTCTTACCCTGATGGTTAAATGCTTAAGGGGGTCCAGTATTCATACCCCCAACAGGACACTTACGTATCCGGAATATTGACCGCGTCGACAATGGCTGCATTGTCTGACCTCATCTAAAATGAGACTGGTGGAAGTCAGAAACGCCGTGAAAGCTCAAGGATGAGGTTGGGACTTACGGGGTTTTTCTTTTCGTTTCCTTCCCTCCCTTCCTTTTAGAGGGTCGATACGGAGACAGTACGGAGGTTTCTAAAAGCACAGCGGTGGAAGCAGCTAGGTAACTGGATGAGAAGCGCAGGGAAATAGCGAGGCAGGGGCGACAGCGGAGGCAGGAGTTGGTCAGGGAAGGGCTGGTCCCTTTGTTAGGAGCAAGTAAATTGTTAGGCGGCCGGGTGAGAGGGAACACGACTTTCATAGGAAGCGCTGTGCTAGCGAGACGGGCACTGGAAGCCAACTCCTGAGCACTGCAGAGGCGGGCAGAGAAGAGAGCCGCGGTCTAGGGATCCAGGTTGAGCGTTAAAGGTAGAGTGTGTCTAACGTGGCCGAGCCGCGCTCTCCCCCACACCGGGAGACCTAAGGACTGCAAAAAAGCGGAGTCTAGTTCAGGGCTACCACCCCTTGCCGGGCGCCTTCCGGTGACGTGGCCCCAGCGCGATGACGTGCAGCCGAGCCGTGAACGCCGCCTCCACGTCTCAGGTTCCGCGAAGGCCTGTGGGAGCGACCCGAAAGGAGGAGGGTCAAGATGGCGGAAGTGGCGGAGTCTCCGGCTGACCGCGGGACAGCATCGCCCAGGCCCCTGGTGAGCGTGGGAACTGCGGTCAGAAGGGACCGAGCGCAAGGCGGGGGACGGGCTTGTAGCCCAAGAGAGCTGGAGCCCCTTCGCCCGTCAGGCCCTTTGCTATATCGATTGTTAGAACTAATCCAAACACTGCACCTGTGCCGTGGGTACCTGCTTCCCTCACCCTCTCCACTTAGTGCCTTCCAGTGTTCTGGTGAAACTCCTCTCTTCTTTCCTGCCCTATACAGCAGGGCTTGTCCTCGTCCCCTACATTGTGTTAAATTGTTAAATTCCGAGCTTTAGGTGATGTACTTTCTTCCGCTCTCCCCTGAATTTATCACGACCTGTCACCAGCCCTTGTTGGAGCAGCAGCATTCTAGAAATAAGGAGGGATTGCTTCCCATCGGACGTTGACATTTTATTGCTTATAACTTGAATCTTGTTCAATCCTAGCTCCTTGCCGTCCTTTTCAGGATTCTCTTTTTCCTCCCT